CAACTTTTAAGTCAAGTTCACCCTCTGGCCTGATCTAAGTTAGGGCATAACTAAGTCAAGTTCACTTAATTTATTCAGAATAAAATTTTCACTTTCCATTGCTGAATTTCAATCATCTGAAAAAATCTTTAAATCTCATTATCTTCTTAAAATGGTGGTTGTAAACACTGACCACCATGTGCTGTCAACCAGAATGAATGCTGCTGAAAATTCAATTAGTGATTAATGAATATTCTGCATGAGATGACAAGAAATGTCATTCAATTATTGTTTTTTTGTTGAATTTTTGTCAATCTGTTTGGTAGGAACATCTTGTCCAAGAAGGCACCCTGTCTGATGATAAACCATTCCAAATGGCTCCTGGTGACAAGCAAGCCTTTCTTTCTGTCGGCAAAAGAGGAATTGGTTGCAGGTTAGTGTTCATTTGTTTGACTTCTCAGTCAAGGTTTTGCTGCTTTTTGCCAAGAAGATGCTGTTTTAAAATATCAAAATATTCCATGCAGACAGATCCGGGGATTGCGATAGGAGTTTTGAATCTGAGTCCTAGAAACCACGGAACTGCTCTGAATTTGTGTCAGTCAATATTTAGGAAGCTCTAGTTAACACAAGTTAAAAGGCGTCCTGCCAAACGCATCAAAATCGTGAAACTTAATTTTTAGATTCTTTATTTTAGCTAAAAAAGCACGATTTTTACGTTAACATGATGCCTTGTCAGCTGACGTTTTGGTAAAATCTACGACGGCAACGTCAACCGGAAGCGTAAATTTAGGGATTCGCTCCCTCAACGTCTGTCTTTCCTGTGGATGAAGTGACTCTACTAACAATGTTTCGAATGAATTCTCCAATGAAAAGAGCCCCAAATAAAAAATTATTTACACTTCCTTTTGACGTCGTCGTTTAAGATTTTACTAATAAATGCGTTTCAAAATTACCTTGGATGCTATGTTAGCTTGAAGCTAAGGCTAACATGAAAATACGAAAAAAATAGACTTATCCCCAAAGAAATGTTTGGCACATCTTTTGTGAATCAATTGTAGGCTAGCTTAAAGCCCAGTTTGAATAAAATGGTAAAAGTTGAGAATCATATCGAGAAAAAGCGCCCTTACTTATTTTTTAGTGTTACTTTTTTTAATTGCATTTGAGGCCATGAAACAAGCGAATGAAAAATTCAAAATGCAGTACACCTTTCTTTTATGCGTCTTTGTCTTATAATTCTCCAATGACCCTCCGGTAAAAATACTGCTCGCTGTGGTTTGATTGACATTTACTGAGATATCTTTATTTTGACACTCTACACGTTTTCGGAAAGCTGCGCGGCATATTTTCAACTCTGACATCACCTGTCTTCCAAACGATCTTATATACATATAACGTAATACTCCAGGTTCGAGATCTCTGTTGCTCAGGGTCACCCTCGACTTTGTGCATAATATTGTATTTTAGTGCAGGTTCGTGGAATTTCAAAGTGTCTATATTGTTGAAGTCGTGCATTCTTTTACTTTACCGTTGGTATTTGTGAATATTTAGACACTGATTCGAGGCTAACCCTGTGCAAATGAGTCTGTGATCAAGGAACAAGCAGTAATTTGGAACTCGAAAAAGGTCGATTTAGTTTTATGGAGAAATGAAATCTACTTTATTTTTTTAGTGTTCGTAATGGGTTTCCAAACATCTCTGGTTTGTTCGTGATTGCTGTTACTCCAGGATCCATCTCAGACAAGGCGGGAATCAGGGTAAGAATATCCCTATGACAACTGGGGAGAAATGCTTTTAATGAGCTTGTAACAATGACGGTGCTTGATGTGGTGACGATGATGATGATGGTGATGTTGAGGATGATGCGGTGATGATGATGGTCATGGTGATGATGATGATGATGATGATAATGGTGATGACGATGATGCTGATGTTCATGATGATGCTGATGGTGATGGCGATGATGGTGATGATGAGGTAATATTGGTGATAACGATGGGGATGCTGATGTTGACGATAACGATGGTGATAGTTGATGATGATAACCACGGCTATGATGATGGTGATGATGATAATCATGATGGGGTTGTTGATGTTCATGTCAATCGCTCTTATCTTCATTTCCACCCTAATCAAATTAAACATGACTTACGTTTTACGTTCAGGTTGGTGATGAAATCGTATCTGTCAACGGGAAAGACATCACGAAGTGGAGCTACTCTGAGGTAAAAAGTGTTTAAATAACCTGATTTCAAATAATATCGGTACGACATGTGAGCGCGCTATTCCATATGAAACACTGCCTATATCCGCCGCCCGGTTTGCTCAATAGGTAAGAGCGTCGGTCTGCTGTGCGAGAGAGGTCGTTGTTCGAGTCCTGGCCGGACCAACACTCAGGGTCTTAGAGTGCCTCTCAAGTGTTAGACTTTCAAGTAGCTCGTACCGTGTGACCACGTTAATGGTGGTCCCGTCTCTAATCAACCAGAGAAGTTAAAAGAGGACTACGATGAAAATATCTTTCATTTTATCTTTTTCATTTTCTCATTGTTTTTCTCATCTTACCTTTAGGCGGTCTATTTGCTCAAGTCCTTTCAAGAGCTGCAGCTTATTCTGAGACATTCTAAGGTACTTGACAGCCGTAACGCATACTATGTAAAACCGCTGAAATGAGGTTACTGTTTGTTCACATCATCGTAAGCTAAAGAAAATTATTTTGCATACAAATAATCTCTACAGACACCACGTATCGAATTTGTCAAAATGTGTGTTGGGGGGGAAGGGGGGGAGGGGGGGTTACCAATACCCACCACGTAAATCAATGGTGCAATGAAAACAATGAAAGCATTGCACATTGCACCACGTGGAATAAGGTCTTGCACCACGACGAATAAGGTCTATAAAATCGTGACCCCATTTTGGATCGTTGTTCAATCTTGTGTTTTATTCGCCTAACTGATTTTTGACCGGTTTCTTCATGCATACTAGAGGGTTGAAAAACTCGTTCGAGATGAAGATTCCAAAAACGACGAAGAGAAAGTACCAGAATTCGCCATCCGAACGCAAATCCTGCTGAAGAAAGCCGAAGAAAAAGAGAAAGAAAAAGCAAAGGATAAAGAGAGAAAAGATAAAGTAAAGTCTGAAGTAGAAGAGGAAGAGGAAGGGGAAAAGGAGGAGGAGGACGTCGAACATCCAGGTATAAGAGCTGAAGCTTAAATCAGTTGAAAAAATCATCACTAGTACTATTTCCATTAACATTATAATTGTAATTGCCATTATTACTATTATTATATCATTGCTATAATAATCAGTTCTAAATATTTTTAATATAAATTCTTTAGAAATGAATTGAGAAACGCTCCAAAAACTTCGATCTCTCAGATCTCTGGATCTTATGCATTGGTTCCTCCTTTCGTTCATTCAATTTTTTGTTTTTTAACTCGTTTGTTTTTTCCTTTTCTCCCTCCCTCCCTGCCTCTCTCTCTCCCTTTCATCCTCCCTCCCATCCATCTATCCATCCATCCCTTCCTTCCTCCCTCCCTCCCTTTCTCTCCCATTCCTTTCCTTTTTTCTCTCTCTCCCTTCATTTTTGCCCTCTATTGGACCACAAACGTCGCATTCCTCCATTTTTCCTCTTCCGTCCCCTCCCCTCCCCTTCCTATGTATTTAACATATCAGTTATTTCCTTATCATCGATCCATAATTTCCTAAAAAGGTATCTCAATAGATCACTATCTTGATTTCATAACAGTAGATACACGTGCGATCAGACTCCACATCCGTGGCAAATCTATCTATCATTTATTTGACTTGAGTGATAGCTGTAAGGCGGACGAGGTGATATATAACTGTCATAGACGATTATATACTGATCAAAATAGCATTTTTGACACGACGTTCTCTTATAGGTTGGCTCAGCCGTGCATTATCTCTGCTATTAAATTTCGCATAAAAACTCGTGCTTCCATGCAGTTCCTGGCTAATATTAAACTGAAATGAATGAACCAGAAGCCAAGGGCGATGGGGAATGAGGTCATAGCTGTTGAAAGCGTCAACCGGAACAGGATCTGCGCATGCGCCTCGCTGTTACTCTATTCACAATCATCAGACGCGTGACCTGTGCTTGTAAGCCTCTTAGAGGATTTGAAATGTTTATGCCACAAAGCGTTAAATAAGTCTCGGAAAGGAAAATCCTCGAAGACTTTTACGAACGAAGATTTTGCTCTTAAAGAAATCTTCAACGTGGTCTCTTTCGGCTTTTTAGCTATTCACTCGTATCACCGACATTATAGTATACGTCTTTATAGTATACGGTGTCATTGGAGTTAAACAAGCGGCGAATGATGACTGATAACAAAAAGAATTTAAAATGTCGAAAATAAACGAAATTCTTTATTCATATAACATTTTTTATTCTCAACTCGCAACTATACATCAACCAGCCACCAAAATATAAAGAAAGTCTAGGCACACGGAATAAGAATTCTTCGCGTAAAAATATCATAAATACTCAGACCAACCCGTGAATCGCCTCATTGCATGCTATGAACGTCTTACCTTCATGAGTGCTCGTAAAAGCAATGAAACTTTTCTTCCTGGTTTGGTTTCTACTGAAGTTTCCTCCTCTTTCCAGGTTTTCTCAAGTCGTTGACTAAGCTGCTCAGCCGAGTCCTTGTCACTGAGCTCAAGAAGATCCACTTCTTGAATTTGCGACTTGTTTCCATGCTGTAGCGTCTTGGCGATCCAAGAGAAGGTTACGCGAGAACACAAGCTTCTAGGGATTAGATTACCAAAGCGATCTTTCTCGTGTAAAATCATTACGACCAACCTGGGGGCTTTTCTTTCAGTTTCAAGGATCTAAGTACATCGCCTTGTGCGATATTTTTCTGTTCCCTTACATCGCTCGGGTGGTATTACTCCGACTTGAGTGTGCCAGAAGCACGTAATCTTAATATACCAACAAATGAAATGAATACGTAGCATATTTGATGGTCAGGATTTTCGTAAAAAGTCACGACCTTTATTATCTCCGGCCTAAAAATATCATTAACACGAAAAATATTACTGTCATTTGGATAAGTACATATATGCTAACTTATTTTCAATACGTGGAACAGCGACCAACTTCTGCGTGGTCTTAGAATTAATAATTACGCGTGGTGTGTGACTCAATATACCACTAACAAAGACCATCTGTCCTATTTTCCGCCCAGCGAAACCACTGGGAAATGTTTGAGTGAGTCATATACCAATGATAATCTAAGTTCATGATAACGCGCTTTTCTTTTTCTCCTTTTTTAATATTTTATTTTTATTCGACTATCGGATTGAAAGCTTTCCCCCGCTGATCATTAATTTGTAACGCAGACGTGGTTGAGGTCTACCAGAGAGACCAGAAAGAACGACCATCTGTTTTACCCTGGAAGCTTAAATAACCCAAGCTGCATGATCTTATAGTAAGATAAAGGGTTGCTTTTATGGACTCCACGCCGGGCTGTTTAAAATAGTAATAACACAAACAACGATTAAGCTATTCTCGGCGTGTCCATTAATTCCAATTTGATTTGCGGGTTTCAATTTTTGAAAGAAAGAAAAAAATTCCTGGATTCGGTTTTTAAAGAGAGCACGATACTTTATTTTCGTGCGGAATATTGTCAAAACTGCTCTCTGATTTCTTCCTTAACATGTATTACATTTGGCTTCCTTCTATGTCATATTTAGATGATTATAACAACCATAAAAAGATAGATGTGATGCTAACGATGATACTAGAAATGATGATGATGATAACTGATGTCGTTAAAAAAACTCCCGATTTTATGCATACCCTGAAACAACATTTTTGGTTTGATCGAAGTTATATAACATGGAATTTTTAGCTTGTTAGGTTCAGTTTGCATTTGTGGAGGGAGGAAAACTGAAAAACCCGGAGAAAATCCTGTAACTCTACAAGTGATGCCAACTATTTGTAGTGACTGAATTCTTTTGCAATTCATTGAACAATAATTATTATGATGACAATTTTTTTAGGCTGTCATCACAACCCTCCAGTAACATTCACATTATATGTTTACAATAACTCTTCAACGCCCATGAAATCAAAGATATGTCAAAAATGTCAATTAAGTATCGTCAATAGGTCGCCAGCCCTGTAGTTTTTATCGTTATCGACTGCAAAAATGACCTAGGTATTGCGATGGTGTAGTCATTACTATGACTCTACCTTTGGAGAACTTTGCACGCCTAGAGCGGTTTTTGGTATGAGTGGGAAACATACGGTATTGACGCACAACACGTACATCGTACGACACTGTCATGACATTGAAATGACTTCACACGATCGTTGATTCTTCCAATCACAACGCGTAGGGATGCGGCTACGCGTGTAAGATATTCGGCGTAACGACCACAGGAAACTACACTGAAGCATGTATAGATTATTGCTGAGGGGCTTGAAT